TAGCCCAGGCTGGCCTCGAACTCACAGAGATCCGCCTGGCTCTGCCTCCCGAGTGCTGGGATTAAAGGCGTGCGCCACCACCGCCCGGCTCTGTTCTAGATCTTAATGTGAACCAATAAATGTGACACTCGAGACACCCTCCTGCAGTCTCTAGACAGCTTGCCCATGCGTCACCTAATCAGAGTGCAAGGAGCAGGGCAGCTGTTATTATTCTTGTCTTCTGAAATCAAGGCTTAGGGAAATTCAGCCACCTGCTTAGACATAGATATATCAAGGTGGTGAGGGGGCCATGCTGAGGACCCAGTGAGGTTTCCTGAAGGCAAAGTTCAGGAAAGCCTTTCTGTAACTCTGTGAAGATGTCTGCAACTATTTCCCATCTGTCTGTTCCTGATGTGATAAGCAGTGAATTATTTTTCATAGCTATCCATAAAATCCAAGCCCTTTCATTGATAAACAACCAGAACACCCAAGGAAGGGGTTGAGTTTTTATGGGTGAGCTGTCAGCTGGGGTGAGAGAGCAGTCACTCACTCTCTGTATTTCGGTTTTTAATGCACATTCTTTGTATCTGTACTCCATCAAATTTGTGTTGCTGCTTAATGCCAAACTCCCGAAGACGTAACAGTAACAGTCGAACCTTAACTCGGGGTGCTCTCTCCAGCCCTAGTTTGCTACTGCAATTGCTTTCTTGCCAAAGTGGAGCTTGTTATTGGCCAAGGATCCTGGTGGCTTCCAGCTCCTGTGTTTAGTGATGGAAGTATGGAGAACTGAGTCCTCTGGGAGTTGTGTGTTTATCTGTTTGACTTGAAGCCTTGTTTGTATATCCGATGCTTTTTTAAAATGCCTAGACCACTATTTATTTCTGAAGTGTATATAATGTATAAAGACAAATATATGACTAGTTTTTACTTTAAGATTAACCCATTTCAAGATTAAAAAAAAGTTTAATAGTAAAATAATAAAAACTATACAACTCTTAATTGTCTGGTAACTCATTTCTTAAAATTGGAAACAATATGGCTGCCCAGATCTTGGACTTGATACATAATTACTTTAGTATAAGATATATTCTCTATTTGATAGTCATTGTTAGCAGGAAGTGGACAACTTCTTTCAGTCATGGGTGGGAAGAAATGTTATCTGAATTGCAGCAAGAAGACCTGGGTGGACTCTTTTTTTTTTCCCTTTTCGAAACAGGGTTTCTTTGTAGAACAGCCTTGGATATCTTGGAACTCACTCTGTAGACCAGGCTGGCCTCGAACTCACAGAGATCCACTTGGCTCTGCCTCCTGAGTGCTGGGATTAAAGGCAAGTGCCACCATCGCCCGGCTGAAGGTGGACGGTTTTAAGAACAGGGAGGTGGTGGGACATCAGAGGACAGTTGTGAGCACATAAATTTGGTCGTATTGGCTCAGATGACAGTGTCATAAACTGGGCGGAGCTGATTTCTCTATGGCACTGAAATCCCTGCTGGGACAAGAGAGGATCAGGCCCATAGTTTTTCACTGAGCTACCCAGAGTGTGATCTGTTCGTCTCCACAGCCCACAGGGTCTCCCTCCAGGTCCCCTTCCAGCGATGGGAAGGTGAGAGGAGGAGGAGCCCTTCTCCGGGGCTGAGTGACAGCTGTCTGAGTCACACAGCAACAGGGGAGGCTGGGGATTCTGCTTCTGTTCAGGATTCCCTCGGGCCCAACGGAAAGCCCAGTGGCTGGATAGGAAAAGGAAATTGGATATTGCCATCTGTTTACCAGAAATTAATTGTTCTCCCCGGAGGCAGGGGATAAACCAAGGTGCCATTTAAATTATTCAGTCTTGTAGTCAAATTTTAGTATACAAATTGTTTATTCATTTTTTTAAGTTAAAGATAGGGTCTTGAACTCACTGCTCAGTATGTATCCCAGGACTTTAAGTTTAGGTAGATTATATAAATTTGACTTTATCTCTAGTCTTAAATGTTAAAACACTTTTAAAACATTTTTTAAAACATTAACAAGATAGTTACAATTGAATTACTTTACATCCCAGCAATATAGTATTACATTAATACCGCCAAAAACCAAGGTGATTGGTGAGCCCAATAGATCGTTCCTCAGTTTACACTTCTGTGTCTATAATTGATTTTTGTTGTTTGTCTCCCGGTATAGCCTAGGCTGACCCAGAACTCATTCTGTGACACAGGTTGCCTTCGAATAACAGATCCTCTTCCCCAGCCTCCAAGTGCTACAATTACAGGCACATATCTTTATACTTAAAAGTGCAACATAATTGATATCAAATCCTGAGTCTGTTCAATCCAGGTTTAAAGTTGGCAGTAGTTTTCAAAAACATGTTTGTGCACTAAAAGCAGCCATGAACACCCCTATAAGCTGCCGGCCAATGCCTTGAAGGTTCTTTCCTTGAAGGAAAGGCAAGGGTATGTATGAGTGGTCCCCAAAGAGATGCTTGATGACTTACTTGCTACAACAGCTCCCAGGGGTATGGATGTAGTGTGTATGGTGGTTTAGGACAGCTCTTCACATTGTACTACACTGTCTTCCACAGTAGCACGGTGGCATGTCAAGGTACCTTGCCCTTCAGGATCAGGGGCAGTTACGTGACCAGCATCAACTGAAAGTCCATAGCCCCAAACTTCCATTGATCCAGGCCTTTCCTTGAACAGCACATTCACGTTCTTCCAGCAATAGTGCAGTGGCATGTTATCTTGTTACAAAGCCATCTTTGGAGGAAATGGACAAGTCAATTATGATCTGAGTATGCCCAGTGCCTGGGCTGGAGAATCACACAAGAGACGAAGGACTAATGCAAAATTCCGAAACTCCAGCCACCACCATATCAGCATCATCTTGGTCATAAATCTGATCATCCCATAGCGTGAGCGCCTGTGGTACACAGTGCATGCTGCAGATTGGCGCTCTTGCTTGTACAGAGTGTTCATCTGGTCCAGTGCCATATTTATCCTAATCTCAGGTTCAGAGAAGAGGCTGACCTTCTTACTACCTTTGATCTGAAACATCAAAGCAGTTTCAGAAGCAGCTTCAGGAGGATCCAGTCCCATGCCAGGTGCAGCACCAGCCATTGGCTCAGAAGACCAAGGCAGTCAGCTGGGAACTGCTGCCCAATGGCCATGGTGGCGGGAGAAGTCAGGGCTTGTTTGTGTCTGATTTGGACACAGACCTTTGTTTTTTAAATGGTCTTCACGAGAGCCTCTTGGCACATGAGCAACAATACTTTGAGAGATTCTCCTGTCCTTGGGAAGTGAAACAATCCCAATTTATCCTAGAAGAAGGCAATCCCATATCAGTTGAGTCCCAACAGCAAAAGGAATCACCTACCAATGATAGCTCATGATAACAGTCCACCTGTCAAGTCCAGTGTTGGCACAGTTTCAGAAAACCTCCTTTCATTTCTTATTTAACCACCATTGAAAAGTTGGATATCAAACTGAGTGCTTTTAATCCTTAGGAAATTTGACAATGTCATTGTGATTCAGGTGGTCAGAAACACTCTTATCATAGGGTTTGTACCCTGAAACAGGGCTGAGAAACCCTTAAAACATTTAAAATGAGAAAGAGGCTCTCTGTAAAGCGCTTTAGTGATGGGAAACACCTGCTTTCCACTTCACAAAGGACATCCTGAACCAGGTTTATTATTGCAGCCAGGATTTAGATTAGACAATATTGGGTATGTTGTTAACTTAGTTCAAAGGTCAACAGAGGTGTCTCATGTCAGTCACAGGTGTCCCATGTCAGAGAAGAGGGCAGATGCAGTGTTTCTGGCAGAGTAGAGGAAAAAGTTGGAATCGCTCCAAGGTGGAGGCACAGTCTCAGTGACTCCAGGTTTCTTGTTTGACTTGGCCATTTTGATCCACTCTCAGTAGAGTTTGGAGAATTTCATGGGCCTCTCAGGGGCTCTCCAAACACAGAGCCTATGATAATGTCTGGCACAGAGTGGGTGTTACATGATCACACACTGTGAAATGAAATTAGGTACAGGGATACCTGCTGCATAGGCAGTAGAGGGGTCGAGTGTAAGCACAGAGTATGGTGCCAGAAGACTCAGCGTGCTGTTCCGAATCGTATGACTGTTGGTTTACAAACAACCTTTTCTAGTCTCTGCCTCTTCTCTTCAGAAACAGACGCAAGAGGCTGAGGTGGGATCATGAGTTCAAAGCCCAGCTTGGGCTGTAGAGCAAGACCCTGTCTTAACCAACCCAGCTCAACCTAACCAACCCAAAGTGAAGAATACCATTTGGGATGTTGTGAATAGCAACTGTATATGGTAAGATTAATTTTTAGTACTTTATAGGTTTGACTTGGGAAAAAGACAATAAAATTTAGACAAAATTAAAATAAGCATCTTTTGGTTTCTATGTAGAAATTTTATATATAAGGAGCTTTATTAATTACTGAAAGAAATGGGAAGTTACTTAGATAATGGTAGGAAAGAGGTCTCATTAAGGGGGGGGCATAAAATT